CATTTTAGTGTTTCACTCTCTCTCAAGTCTCTGGGTTTTAAAGAATGGATTCCTTTTATTCTATGGGACAACCCTAAACACGGGTCTGTCTGATGTTTCCTCATGACCAGACACAAGTCATGCATTTGTGGCAGGAATATCACAGGAATGATGCTGTGCTCTTCCTGGTGCCTCATGTCAGGAGGCACCACACAGTGTTGATCTGTTCTGCTGATTGATCTTGGGCACATATTTATGTTAGTGTTTACTAGATTTCTAAAAGCTCAATTTTTCTTTAAGACCAATTAACATTTGAAGGCAAGACGTCTAAGATTTTACACTAATATCCCGTTTCTCATCGAGTTTCCCACATCAGTATTAGCGTTCATTGACAATTTCCAACTGAGTCAACCATCATAATGAGGTTTGCCAAATGGCTGCTTCCTTATTTACTTCTTTCTACAATTATTAGTTGGCACTCTACTATAACAAATAAATGTATCTTCTCACATTTCTTTATTATTTATGTTAGTATAGATTCATGGATTCCAGTTTTAGTTACTGAGTTTTCATTTGATAATATTATTTATCATGATGTGGATATTATCCCAGAATTGACTAGTTTTAGCCCTGGTAAGTAGGCTTCTTGACATATCTCCATCACTCATTGTATATGTTTTTTAGAGATAACAAAATGCTCCAGGTACCTTTTTTCATTCCATTAAATGAACTAGCCATTTCTTAAAGGACCCTTGATTTATTTTAATAAAGGATAATATTCATTAAAGGAATGAAACAATGATCTGGGTCCCCTGGAGTTAGCCATTTCTTAAAGAACTATTTATTTATTTATTTATTTATTTATTTATTTATTTTTGAGATGGAGTCTTGCTCTGTCACCCAGGCTAGAGTGCAGTGGCACGATCTCCATTCACTGCAACCTCTGCCTCTTGGGTTCAAGTGATTCTCCTGCCTCAGCCTCCCGAGTAGCTGGGGTTACAGGCATGTGCCACCACACCAGGGTACTTTTTGTATTTTTAGTAGAGACAGGGTTTCACCATGTTGGCTAGGCTGGTCTCGAACTCCTGACCTGAAGTGATCCACCTGCCTTGGCCTCCCAAAGTGCTGGGATTACTGGCGTGAGCCACCATGCCCAGCCTACCCTTGATTTCTTTTAATGAAGGATACCATTTATTAAAAGAATGAAACAATGATCTGGGAGCTCATGTTCATCATTACCGAGGTGTCATTGCATTGGGAGTTTTCAGTAGAAAGAGCTAGGAAATGTATGTATGTATATATGCATGTACATGTGTATGTATGCAAGCATATGATTGTAACTATTTTTATTTATGTATGTGTTTATGTATGTGTGTGTGTATTTTATACCTGACTTGATGCTGATACTTTTAATTCTAATCCTATACCTTGGGGTTCTTTTTATTTATTATGTATTTTTATTTTTAGACATAGGGTCTTACTCTGTTGCCCAGGCTGGAGTGCAGTGGCTCACTGCAGTCTTGAACTCCTGGGCTCAAGCGATCCTCCTGCCTCAGATGCCCAGTAGCTGGGACTACAGGCATGTGCCACCCTGCCCAGCTAATGTTTTTTATTTTATGTAGATGGGGTGTCACTATGTTGCCCAGGCTGGTCTCAAATTCCTGGCCTCAAGTGATCTTCCCGCCTCGGCCTCCCAAAATGCTGGGAATACAGGCATGCCATGGTGCCTAGTCAAGATTCTTCTTAGTCTGCTTCCTTTACATGTTGAAAATTCCTTCTCAGATATTAAGAAATACAGCGTTTAATGTCTTCAACTCTTTCCTTTCTTCCCTCTTCCTTCTTGCCTTCCTTCTTTTTTTCCTTTTTTGCTTCCTCCCTTTCTTCCTTTCTTTCTTCCTTCCTTCCTTCAAGACATGGGGTCTTGCTATGTTGCCCAGACTGGACTTGAACTTCTGAGTTCCCACCATCTTTCCTCCTTAGACTCCGGAATAGCTGGGATTACAAACACGTGCCACTGCACCCAACTGCAGTCGTCTTCTAATTGGTCTCCCTGCTTCTTCACTTGCTCCCATATGGCTAATTCCCTATATAAAACTAGAGAGATTTTCTAAAACATAAATCATATGTCTCTTCTCTGCTAAAAGTGTGCCAATGGCTTCCCACTAAAGTTAGAAAAAAAAATCTTTGAAACTAAAGATTGGACTATCTTAAAAGCAAACAGACTATATAACAGGCACATGTCTTAATCTGTTTGTGCTGCTATAACAAAATACCATAGACTGAGCAATTTATAAGCAACAGAAATTTATTTCCGACAGTTCTGGAGGCTAAAAAGTCCAAGATCAAGGTACCGGTACTGGTGCATGGTAAGACCTGCTCCCTGCTTCCAAGATGGCACCTTGTTGCCATGTCATCACATGGCAGAAGGTGGAAAGGCAAGACTCTCTTCAACCTAGAGCCCTTTTTAATAATGGTTCCAATGCCATTTAGAAGGGCAGGACCCTCATGACTTAATCACTTCCCAAAGTCCACATCTCTTAATACTGTTGCATTGAGGATTAAGCTTCAACCTGAATTTTGGAGGGGACATAGCAGCATAGTAGACTTTTAATAAATATTCACCAATTGAAAGAATAAATTCGATTTTCAAAACAAATTGAAAATGAAGAAGGCCTCCCAAATGAAGAAAGTAAAGGTATACACTCTCCCATCTCTATCACACCCACATCCAAACAGCAGTTGTTCTTAGATCTAATATCAGCATTTTCAGAATTGCTTTGCTGTTGCCTCCATTCCCACCATGTATCATGCGCCCATCATATCTTCAGTATTGCTTGCATTTTCACGATAGCTCCCTAACTGTTATTTCGGTTTCTGCCCTTGCCTCCCTTCACTCTATTTTCACAGATGCCAGAATAATTCTGTTAAAAAATGCCAGATAACATCACTTCTCTCTTAAAACCCTTCAGTGCCTTTGTGTTTTACTCTGGGTAAAAGTCAAAGTGCTTTAAATGGCCAACAGGCCCTGTGTTCATTATCTGTTGCTATGTAACAAAGTACTCAAAACTTAGTTGCGTAAAACATACATTTATTATCTCACGGTTTCTGTGGGTCAGGCATCTGGGCCCAGGCTCTCTTGTATGGCTGCAATCAATTTATCAGCTGGGGCTGTAGTCGTTGAAAGGCCTGACTGAGGGAGGTTCTTATTTCAAGCTCACGTTACTGTTGTCAGCCTCCGGTGCCCTGCTGATTGTTGGCTGGAGACATCAGTTCTTTATCATGTGGCCCAATCCATAAGGCTATTTACAACATGGTAGCTTGCTTTCTCCAGCTGTGTGTGTGAGGGAGAGAAAGACAGATATTCCCTAATGTCTTTCTAGTCTTTATGCTTTTCTATGGCATTTATTGTATCCAATATCTCATGTGTTTTACTAGTTGTCTGCTTCCTCACTTCTCTATCCTCATTATAATATTAGCTATAATAGAGCAGGACATTTTGCTTATTTCACTCACTATTTTATCTACAGTGATCAGAACAGTGTTAAACACATTCAAAAAAAATAATGAATCACTTAAATAATTTCAGAAAAGATTTGAGGAGTCTTAAAAGCAGATATCCATCTGCTATGAAAGCCCGTAACATACAGAATTACTGTAAAAGGCTGTAGTGTATTCATGAAACAGAATCCAGAGATTACTGTAGAGGAGGAAAAAAAATTAGAACAGTCCTACCAAACATACACCAAAAAACAAAAAAAATCCAACAATATACAAAGAATATTATTAGTATTTAATATATATACACATAAACATGAAGACTGTCATACAGGCTTTATCATATATGATTATGTATAACCACCAATAATCACCAATTTTCAAGTTCAAGTTTGGTCTTGGAGTCAATAATAGATCTGTACCCTTCATGCCAGCACTAGAGACCTGGGTTTTTGGTGTAGACGCAGCATTCCTTTCTTCTTTTAGAAATACATCGCACCTGAAAGGGAAAATAGTCAGCCCCACTGTATTTTTTTCCAGATTATGAGCTCCTCCTTAGAAGCCAGCCAAGCATGCCCAGGCGATGGGTTAGGGGCTACTGAGCTTTCCATGGTCTCGTGCAGTTTGCAGTCTTGCTGTGTTTCATAGTTGCCCCACAGAATTTATTTTGCTGTCAGCCATCGATAGCTGTATGAGTTGACACCTCAGAGGGTGACTGCCAAGTCTCTGGAAATGCTAATGGCCATGCTGATTAGGTTGGACAATGTGATCTTGTTTTGGGCATCAATCCATTGAGGTACAAGCTTCTCATGATGAGAAAAGAGGGTTTCCTGAAGAGAAGTAGATAGCATGCTGAAACTGCTAAGAAGGATGATGACAAAGCTCCTGCTAAGGCCATGGTTCTTTCAGGAAGTATCCTCATATTGTCAGCTTAGGCTATGGTTTGGGCTGTGAGATCTCATCTTCCTTCGTCTTCTGTGAGCCCACAGGCTTGTCAAGACCTTTTTAGGAAGGAAGCCGGTGCAGTCTGAGGGTCTGTCAGTTCTTTAGAAGCAGCTGGAGATATTAGGAAAATGGGCCAGGATTGTGGCTTCTTCAGACTGCGACAGAGAAGGACAGGAATCTTCCTCTGCTCCAAATCTCAGCCCCTCACTGTGTCCCTGCCCAAACAATAAACACATACATTCTTTTTATCACTTCTGCTTTTGTTTCTGCCTCAATTGTTTTTCTTTTATAAACTGCCAAGATCCTATTGGTCAGCATCCAATTCATTTAATTATGCAATCCAGTTATCTTGTATCACCTAGAAAAAGTAATATAAGACTGTCTTAAAATAAAAGACTAGTGACAATAAAGATGTTTTGCCCAACAGAGGCCATTGAAGGACATACTTCCTCTTTAAATCATGTGAAATTCATCCTGAAATGCTTTTCTCATACAGTACAGTCATTTCTTTCATATCTGAACCATAGCTGAAGTAGTAGATTCTTATGCTTTTCCTCCTGTCTCCTTTTTCCTTTTTGCAGCTCCTGGCCACAGTGGGAGCCATGATCTCTCTCCTTTATACGTGGCTGTATTCCCAGAGCTTTCATTTCCATGTGGCACATTTTTATGCTCATTTTGGGTAAAGATATCTGAAAGGTAAGGTGACTTTGTTTCTCTGGTGCTATTCTACTGGGGGAAAAGAGGTGGGGAGAGGTTTGCTGGTTAGAGTTCTAAAACTAATGGCAAAAACATTTTGCCAATTAACTTTGCACCAACCCGATATATCTGTAGACTTTTAAGTCTTAGCATTCAGCAGTAAACTGAGTCCATTTTAAAAAATATAATATCTTTTGTTTACCTAGGAGCTGGTGTAGTGAAGGATGAAGAGAAGGCAATGCAATGGTTTAGGTAAGATGATGACATCTGCCAAAAAGCAAAACTCCAGAGTTACCTGTTCAGAAAGTACAGGTGGAGCATCCCTTATCCGAGCTGCTTGAGACCAGAAGTGTTTTGGATCTTGGATTTTTTTTTTTTGAAATATTTGTATTATACTAACTGGTTGAGCATCTCTAACCTGAAATTCCAGAATCTGAAATGCTCCAGTGAGATTTTTCTTTGAGTGTCATGTTGATACTCCAAAAGTTTCAGATTTTGGAGCATTTCAGATTTCAGATTTTCTGATTAGGGATGCTCAACCTATGCTTAAATAGAAAACCTTATGATTTTGGTGCTTTTTCCCTAGAGCAAAAATAAGCTAGAGATCTAAAATCTCTTAATATTAAAGTCTTGGTACCCTCTTTACTTTTTCCACTTGGTGATGAGGTAGGAGTACTGGTGGGGCTGTTGAGAGGGTGGGGCCAGTGCATTTTAAAACAGTCTACACAATGTAAGCAAACAGCAGATTAGATTCAAAAGAGTCAAAGTGGGGAATGTGGACCAATCTAGGTCAATATTCAGGATGTCAATAAATTTATTAACAATGCTCTGTGTTAACATTACTTTGGTTATTAAGGTTTTGAGCTCTTGACTATAAAACATACACTAATTTGAAATTTACAAACTGGGCTATGTGTTAGAATCACCTGGGAAACTTCTGAAAAATACTGAAGCCCAGTTCCAGATTGATTTAAATGAGCAGAAAAAGTTCCCTAGAAGAGTGTAATGTGCTGCCAGCTCAAACTACTCCAGAAGTCTATAATGGTTAATAAAGTAAACATGAACCAGCAGAAGAAGGCATTTCAGGAACATATTCTAAAGCTTAAAATCGATATTCTGATAAAGTTCACCTGACAACAGAAGAAACACCTTTGAGAATCAGGAAGGGAGTGACATGGTTCCAAAGTGGCAAAGTGTCATTGGTGATTAACTGCACTTGACTGAAGCTCTTGCCACTGGGAGTATAGTCCATACACCCACAGCATTGGCATCGCCAGGTGGGTACTTGGTAGGAATGCTGCCTCTGAGGTCCTAATGCAGACCCACTGAAGTAGAATCTTCATTTTAATAAGATCCTGGGGTGACTGATATGCACCATCCAGTATTGTAGCCAACAGCCACAATGTGGCCATATAAATGGAAATGAACTAAAACCAAATAAAATTAAAATTTTAGTGCATAGTTGCACTGTCTACATTTCAAGTATTCAATAACCAGTAGTGGCTACTCTACTGGACAGTGCAAATACAGATCGATTCTATCTTTGGTAAAAATTCTATTGGAAAGTAATAGCAATTTACATTTATGTTTCAGCAACTGGAAATAGTGCTTAAGGGTCAGTTTACATGTTATTGAATTTCTAACATTCCCACATAGTCCTTTCCAGCATTTTGATTGCCTGTATATTTTGGAGAAAAGAGTATAATTATATCAATATTTGGAAAAGCTGATGAATTGATTTGAAACAAATATGTGATTAATTTTTTTAAAGTACTGTACTTGTTTCAAGTAAGAAAAACCTTTTTTTTTTTTTTTTTTTTTTTTGAGACAGAGTCTCCCTCTGTCACCCAGTCTGGAATGCAGTGGCGTGATCTCAGCTCACTACAACCTCCTCCTCCTGGGTTCAAGCAAGCCTCAGTCTCCCAAGTAGCTGGAATTATAGGCACACAGCACCATGCTCGGCTAATGTTTTTTGTATTTTTAGTAGAGACGGGGGGTTAGTCAGGGTTCTCTAGAGGGACAGAACTAATAGGATAGATATTTTTATATATAGGGGAGTTCTTAAGTAGTATTAACTAACACAATCTCAAGGTCCCACAGTAGGCCATCTGCAAACTAAGAAGCAAGGAAACCCGTCTGAGTCTCCAGGCTGAAGAACTTGGAGTCCAATGTTCAAGAGCAGGAAGCATCCAGCTTCCTGGGAGAAAGATGTAGCCTGGGAGGCTAAGCCAATCTAGCCTTTTCACGTTCTTCTGCCTGCTTTTATCCTAGCTGTGATAGCAGCTGATTAGATTGTGCCCACCCGGATTAAGGGTGGGTCTGCCTTTCCCAGCCCACTGACTCAAATGTTAATCTCCTTTGGCAACATCCTCACAGACACACCCAGGATCAGTCCTTTGCATCCCTCAATCCAATCAAGTTGACACTCAGTATTAACCATCACAAGCCCACCCCTTATCAACTTTAACTGATACACATTTCCTGAGATCATACATAATCTTCAAATAAAAACAATAATAAGGTCATAATTATGCCTAGCGTAATGCAACTATCCTTCATATAACCAGAAACGCACCAATCCCCAACCCAAATACTATTACATAAAGTTAATGACACTCAAATGCCGATATGAAGTAAGTAAATCTTATGTCACATGATAAAGGAAAAAAGAAATAAAATGAAGTTATTTTCTTAGTACAAGTGTATACATGCACACACATGTTTTTAACAAAAGAAGGAGGAAATACTCATGACAATTACAGTCTCCATTTCTGCAACTGGTCACGGGGCCATTGATGTTTACCTTCTTCTACTACCCATTCGTATTTCCTTTGCCTTCATCAAGCACCTGAGCAGGTCATGGTTTTTTTCTTGGTGGAGTGACCCAAACCTTCATTCCTGAATAGTCTGGGCCAACTACCTGGATTGGGCTATTGTAGTTTCCCATTGACCTAAATCACAGAGCATGATAATACTAAGCCCTAAGGGATCTCCTGTATTCCATGCATACTCTTCCTTACCTCTGTTGTGGAGTAGTGGGCTGATTTCATCTTGATAGTCCGGGTCAATCACCCCAGCCAACACTGTAACTCCCTTCTTAACCTGTGGACTTAAAGGTAGGAGGAGTCCAAAGTGTCCAGGTGGCAATCTTAACTTGTAGTTTAATGGAATCAGTGTGTCTCCTGGTGGCAACATTTCTCCCACTGGAACTAAGACCTCTAGGCCAGCAGAACATAATGTCACAGAAACAGGAAGCAAAATTTTTGTTAGTGTATCACTAGGGGTGATGGTAAGTGGTGCCACTTCCATTTCCACCCCTTGATTCCTGGACCCATGAATCCTGGCTATGGGAGAAACAGTATCGTATATCGAATGCTGATTCAGAGCATACATGGCCTTTTAGAGAACTTTGCCCCAGCCCTGGCAAAGTATTGTCACCTAGTTGGCATTGTAATTGTGACTTCAACAGGGCATTCCACCATTCTATCAATCCAGCTGCTTCAGGATAATGGGGAACATGGTAAGACCAGTGAATTCCATGAGCATGAGCCCACTGCTGCAGTTCTTTAGCCATAAAGCGAGTGCCTTGGTCAGAGGCAATACCATGACAGTGGATAAGGCATTCCATGAGCCCACAGATGGTAGTCTTGGCAGAATCACTGCATGCAGGATAGGCAAACCCACATCCGGAGTAAGTATCTATTCCAGTGAGGACAAACCTCTGCCCTTTCCATGATGGAAGAGGTTCAATATAATCAACCTGTTACCAGGCATCTGGCTGATCACCCTGAGGAATAATGCCTTATTGAGGGCTTAGTGTTGGTCTCTACTGCTGGCAAATTGGGCACTCAGCTGTGGCCATAGCCAGGGCAGTCTTGGTGAGTGGAGGTCCATGTTGCTGAGCCCATGTGTAACCTCCACATCTGCCGCCATGGCCATGTTGTTCATGGGCCCATTGGGCAATGATAGGAGTGACTGGGGAAAGAGGCTGAGTGGTGTCCACAGAATGGGTCATCTTATCCACTTGATTATTAAACTCCTCCTCTGCTGAGGTTACCCGTAGGTGAGCACTCACATGGGATACAAATATCTTCACAGTTTTTGATCACTTAGAGAGGTCTATCCACATGCCTCTTTCTCAAATTTCTTTGTCACCAATTTTCCAATCATACTTCTTCCAAGTCCCTGACCATCTAGCCAGACCATTGGCTACAGCCCATGAATCAGTATATAATTGCATATCTGGCCATTTCTCCTTCCATGCAAAGTGTACAAGTAGGTGCACTGCTTGAAGTTCTGCTCACTGGGAAGATTTCCCTTCACTGCCATCCTTCAGGGATGTCCTAGAAAGGGGCTTTATTGCTGCAGTTGTCCACTTTCAGGTGGTGCTTGTGTATCGTGCAAAACCAAGTGTCTTCTCTTAAAAAAACCCCTAGTCTTCTCTTCCTCTGTCAACTGATCATAGAGAACTCCCCATGAGGCCACTGGTGCAGGCTGGGGGAGAGAAGGCAGGGTGGCAGGAGTGGAGACCATGAGCATTTGAGCCACTTTCTCATGTAACTTACTTGTGCTTTCAGGACCTGCTCAAGCGCAATCACATATGTACCACTTCCATTTAATAATGTAATGCTGCTGTGCATGACCTACTTTGTAGCTAAATGGGTCATAAAACACTCAGTTCGTGATAGGCAGTTCTGGTTACATGATGACTTGATGACCCATCATCAAACGTTCAGTTTCCACCAAAACCCAGTAATAGGCCAAGAGCTGTCACTCATAAGGAGAGTAGTTACCTACAGAAGATGGCAGGGCCTTACTTCAAAATTCTGGAGACCTCCACTGTGATTCATCTATGGGGTCTTGCCAAAGATTCCAAACAGCACCCCTATCTGCCACTGATACCTTAAGCACCATTGGATCTGCTGGGTCATACGTCCCAAGCGGCAGAGCAGTTTGCAGAGCAGTCTGGACCTGTTGCAGAGCCTTCTCCTGTTCTGGACCCCTCTCAAAACTGGCAGCCTTTCGGGTCATTGGATAAATGGGCCAGAGTAACACACCCAAATGAGGAATGTGTTGCCGCCAAAATCCAAATAGGCCCCCTAGGCACTGTGCCTCTTTCTTGGTTGTAGGAGGGGCTAAATGCAGCAACTTATCCGTCACCTTAGAAGGAATATCTTGACAGGCCCTACACCACTGGATCACTAGAAATTTGACTGAGGTAGAAGCTGTCTGAATTTTTGTTAGATGTTTTTCCCATCCTCTGGCATGCAAATGTCTCACCAATAAGTCCAGTGTGTTTGTTACTTCTTGCCCACTGGATCCAATTAGCATAATCTCGTCAATGTAACGGACAAGTATGATACCTTGTGGAAGCAAAAGGTGATCAAGGGCACTCCAAATAAGATTATGACACAAAGGCAGAGAGTTGATATACCCCTAAGGTAGGACAGAAAAGGTATATTGTTGGCCTTACCAGCTGAAGGCAAATTGCTTCTGGTGGGCTTTCTGGGCAGGAATGGAGAAAAAGGCATCTACCAAGTCAGTGGCTGCACACCAGGTACCAGAAGATGTGCTAATTTGCTCAAGCAATGAAACCACATCTGGTACAGCAGCTGCAATTGTAGTCACCACTTGATTAAGCTTACAATAATCCACTGTCATTCTCCAAGATCCATCTATCTTCTGCACAGGCCAAATAGGAGAGCTGAATTGTGATGTGGTGGGAGTCATCACCCCTGCATCTTTCAAGACTTTGATGGTGGCACTAATCTCTGCAATCCCTGCAGGGATGTGATATTGTTTTTGATTTTCTGTTTTTCTAGGTAGAGGCAGCTCTAATGGCTTCCATTTGGACTTTCCCATTATGATAGCCCTCACCCTACCAGTCAGGGAGCCAATGTGGGGGTTCTGCCAGCTACTAAGTATGTCTGTGCCAATTATGCATTCTGGCACTTGAGAAATGACCACAGGATGAGTCCAGGGACTCATTGGACCCCCTGTATATTGGACCTGAGATAAAACTCCATTAATTACGTGACCTCCCTAAGCCTCTACTTTAACTGGAGGACCACTATGACGTCTTGGGTCTACTGGAATCAACTTCAGCTCAGAGCCAGTGTCCAGTAGTTCCCAAAATGTCTGATCATTTCTTTTTCCCCAATGCAGTTACCCTGGTAAGAGGCCAGAGGTCGATTTGAGGAAGGATGGGAGAAAAATTAACATAAGTTGTCAGTAGTGTAGTGGGGTCCTTCCTTAAGGGTACCTGTCCTCCCTTCATTCAGGGGGCTCTGAGCCTGTAAACTGGCTGAAGTCTGGAAATTGATTGAGGGTCGTGATTCTCTGTTTTTATAATTCAAATTGGTCTTTTGTCTATTCCACCTGGAAGTTTCTGCTTATATAAATTGAGTAGGAATGCAGTAGGCTTCCTATCAATTTCTCTTCTAGGAACACCGTGATTAGCCAATGTGAGAGCTCTACACAAGTGAGACTATTCTGATTGCTGCTTTGCCTCTGCTGTCCATTACGGTAGCTACACCCACCTTGCTTTGAGGGTTAAGTGACATCACTTGGCCTCTGCCACCTTGGGATCCAATTATTCTCATTGTATTTAAGTTTTGTAGTTGAGTGACTACAGTTCCCACTGTTAGATCTGGCATACAGAGAAGAGCAATTACAGGGCTCTTCAAAGATGCAGGTGCTGCCCTCACAAATCTATTTTGCAATGCATTGGTCAAGGGTATATCTTCTGGACCCTCCCAACTGAAATGAATAGGTCTAAAGTGACTAATCACCTCCAGCATCCTAATCTCCCTAGGCCTTTGGATCCCTTCCTCTACATTAAACCAAGGGAGATCAGACATTTCCAGCTTGCTCACAGTAGGGCATCTTTTAATCCATATTTCAGCTAACTAAGCAAATAAACTATTGAACCTTTTTTTAACTCCCCAAGCTGCAACATTAAATGCAAAATCCCTGCTTAGTGGACCCAAATCAATAAATTCAGCCTGATACAACTATAGTTTTTCCAACATTATACTACACCCTTAATATCCATTCCCATGCCTGTTCTCCAGATTTCTGTTTACATAAATTATAAAACTCAAGCAGTTCTTTTCGAGTGTAGCACATCTCCTCCTGGATCACACTCTGAACCTCACGTCCTGCCACTCCAGCATTTAGTCTTCTACCTCAGGCTAAGAGGTAGACCAGTTTTAGAAAAAAAGGTTCAGTAAAGCACTGAGGATGGGGCGGATCTTGGGAATTTGTATAATAGTTAGGGATGTTGGCTGCACAATTGGTAACAAAATTTTGAAATGACCATTTTGAGGCAGCCAAGTCAAAATGGCGAAGCCAATATGTTCTATTTTGCAACTGACAGTTACCAGATGGAGGTTGTATGGAATCCCTCTCCAGTTAGCACTCCCAAACCAAAATATAGAATTTCCTTGCAAGAGAGGGGTGCCTCAGACATTACATAAGATTCTTGGCTAGAAAAACTTCTCTAAATAGGGCAAAATAATCTAGTTAGGCTCTGATGTTTTAAGAATATTTATTTGGTAGCTCTGATTTTATTATGAAGATTCTTGTATTAGTCCATTCTCATGATGCTATGAAGAAATACATGAGACTGGGTAATTAATAAAGAAAAGAGGTTTGACTGACTCACAGTTGTGCATAACTGGGAAGGCTACAGGAAGCTTACAATCATGGCAGAAGGAGAAGCAAACACGTCCTTCTTCACAAGTTGGTAGGAGAGACAAGAATGAGAGCTGAGCAAAGGGGGAAGCCCCTTATAAAACCATCAGATCTTGTGAGAACTACTATCACAAGAATAGCATGGGGAAAACCACTCCCATGATTCAATTACCTCCCACTGTGTCCCTCTCACGACACATGAGGATTATGGGAACTACAAGTAAAGATGGGGATGCTCCATACTATATCATTCTGCCCCATCCCCTCCCAAATCTCATGTCCTCACATTTCAAAACACAATCATGCCCTTCCAACAGTCCCCCAAAGTCTTAACTCATTCCAGTATTAACTCAAAAGTCCAAATCCCAACTCTCATCTGAGACAAGGCAAGTTCCTTCTGCCTATGAGCCTGTAAAATCAAAAGCGAGTTAGCTACATCCTAGATACAATGGGGGTACAGGCATTGGGAAAATACACCCATTCCAAAATAGAAAACATGACCAAAACAAAGGGGCTACTAGCCCTATGCAAATCTGAAATCCAATAGGGCCCTCATTAAACCTTAAAGTTCCAAAATGATCTACATCAATTGCATGTCTTATATCCAGGTCATGCTGATGCCAGAGGTGGGCTCCCACAGCCTTGGGCATCTCTGCCCCTATGGCTTTGTAGGGTACAGCCCCCCTCCCGGCTCCTTTCACGGGCTGGCATTGAATGTCTGTGGCTTTTCCAGGTGCACAGTGCAAGCTGCCAGTGGATCTACCATTCTGGGGTCTGGAAAATGGTGCCTCTCTTCTCATAGCTCCACTAGTCAGTGCCCCAGTGAAGACTCTGTGTGGGAGTTCTGACCCCACATTTCCCTTCTGCGCTGCCACAGCAGAGGTTCTCCATGGAGTCCTGCCATGTAGTAAACTTCCACCTGGACATCCAGCATTTCCGTATATCCTCTGAAATCTAGGTGGAGGTTTCCAAACCTCAGTTCTTGACTTCTGTGCACCCACAGGCTAAACACCACATGGAAGCTGCCAAGCTGGGGGCTTGTGCCCTCCAAAGCCATAGCCCAACATGTACCTTGGCTCCTTTTAGCCATGACTGGAATGCAGGCCACAGGTCACCCAGTCCCTAGGCTGACACAGCAGGGGGTTCCTGGGACCAGCCCAGGAAAGCATTTTTTTCTCATGGGGCTCTGGGTGTGTGATTAGGAGGGCTTCCACGAAGGTCTCTCTGACATGTCCTGGATACAGTTTCCCCATTGTCTTGGTGATTAACATTGGGCTCCTTTTCACTTATGCAAATTATGCAGTGCGCTTGAATTTCTCCTCAGAAAATGGGTTCTTTTCTATCACATTGTCTGGCTGCAAATTTTCCAAACTTTCATGCGCTGTTTCCTCTTGAACATTTTGCCACTTAGAAATTTCTTCTGCTAGATACCCTAAATCATCTCTCTCAAGTTCAAAGTTCCACAGATCTCTAGGGCAGGGGCAAAATGCCTCCAATCTCTTTGCATGGCAAGAGTGACCTTTACTCCAATTCCCAACAAGTTCCTCATCTCCGTATGAGACCACCTCAGCCTAGACTTCCTTGTCCATATCAATATTAGCAGTTTGGTCGAAGCCTTCCAACAAGTCTTTAGAAAGTTTGAAACTTTCCCACATTTTCCTGTCTTCTTCTGAGCCCTTCAAACTGTTTCAGCCTCTGCCTGTTACCCGGTTCCAAATTTGCTTCCACATTTCAAGTATCTTTACAGCAGTGCCTCACTCCTGGTACCAATTTACTATATTAGTTTGTTAATGCGCCACTCTGAAGAAATACCCGAAACTGGGTAATTTATAAAGGAAAGAAGTTTAATCGACTCACAGTCTGCATGGCTGGAAGGCCTCAGGAAACTTACAATCAGGGCAAAAGGGGAAGCAAACACATCCTTCTTCATAAGGCAGCAGGAGACAGAAGAATGAGAGCTGAGCGAAGGTAGAAGCCCTTTATAAAACAATCAGCTATCATGAGAACTTACTCACTATCATGAGAATAGCATGGGGGAAACTGCTCCCATGATTCAAATATCTCCCACTGTGTCCCTCTCATGACACGTGGGGATTATGGGAACTACAATTCAAGATGAATATTGGTGGAGACCCAGCCAAACTATATCAGAACTCATGATGAAACCCAGGTGAAATGGCATGTGTTTCCCTCATTACCTTACAATGAGTTTAAACAACTGTTACTCTGGCTCTTAACTCAAACTCTTGAATGTGTGGGTGCTTTTGGTTTACTCTTTCTTAGCACTACTAAATAACAGTTCTTCTAGGGATGTAGAAATGCTTCTTAATGTTGCTGCAAAACGGGGATCCAAGAAGACGAAGAACTTCTGGAGAATGTTATTTGGACTAAAAGCAAGCTCTTGCCAACTGCAAGAACCAGGAGTTTTTATAAACCATAATGTGTGTCCTGCATCCTCTTCCTGGAACATAGGATGTTCTGCTCTCACTTGTCCACTGTGGCCCTGCAATGCTTTGTGGCACTTTCAACGGAAGCTCCTTTTACTTATAGTCTCGTATGCTACTGTAGCATTAATTTGCTGCTGCAGCATTAATTTGCTGGTTAAAATCCTTTCAATGAAGTGTTACTTATATGTTTTCTTGGATTTGAGTTTGACCTCTTCTGGATAGAGGAGTACTTTATTTGGTTTTCATTACTGCTCACTTCAGCTAAAGTTGCATTCAAGCCAGTGAGCATTCTATAACGTGGTAAGTGGAAATAACAAAGAAACTTGTCACACCAGAGATTGCTTCTTGGATGTGTTAGTTGGCACTCACAGATCCACTGAAAGAGCTAAACTCATCATTAGCCAAATCTATGACATGTGATGTTCTGCCTAAAATAAGTCTGTTTTCATTTCTCTCCATTTCAATTTTCTGCTCTATTAGGTTTCTATGGTATTTTATTACATTCACTTTCTGTATTACAAAAAGTCCTTTATGGGGGTAAAAAAGGTTGGTATTGTTGTCAATGAAAGGGGAAAAGGATAAAGTATAAGACCTAATATTGACTGACCATCTGCCACGTGCAAGATATTTTTTAGCTGTTTTTTATATATATGTGTGTGTGTGTGTGTGTATATATATATATATATATATATATATATATATTCATATTCGAGACTGAGTTTCGCTCTTGTTGTTCAGACTGGAGTATAATGGCATGATCTCGACTCACTGCAAGCTCAGCCTCCCAGGTTCAGGATATTCTCCTGCCTCAGCCTCCTGAGTAGCTGGGATTACAGGTGTGCACCACCACGTCCAGCTAGTTTTTTCATTTCATGCTATTCTCATGTTCTCATGATTTTTCATGTCATGGGGTTTCACCATGTTGGTCAGGCTGATCTTGAACTCCTGACGTCAGGTGATCCACCTGCCCTGGCCTCCCAAAGTGCTGGGATTACAGGAGTGAGCCACCACACCCGGCCTGTTTAACAAATATTTTAACATTCACTAGTTACAAAGCCTTATATAAGTCTTATAAGGTGGATCTTATCGTAACTCCCATTTTACAGAGTGAAAACAGGTGTAGAGAAGTTGTGATATGTGCAAAGTCACAGAGCAAGTGACAGAGTGGGGTTTTTAGTGCTGGCAGTCTGATTCTAGAGTCGACATTCTTAACCAGTTGTACCAACATTACTCTCCCAAGTCATAACATCTCTTTACTAATAACAAAGATGTTCTAAGAACAGATAGCTGGGTTTATTACTAGCATATGGTGAACACTTATCTTAGCCAATAACTCAGTCCCATTTTCTGACTATGATTTTTTTAAGGACAAACCACATAGTCCTATTCTTCAAAAGTGATATTTTTAACCTTAATATAATTAGCTGTATTTATCTCATTAGATTATAGCACAATTCTCTCCTTGAATATACATGCAGAAACACAAAGTGAGGGTGACAAAAGTGTCAAACTGGAATTCAATATGATGATTAAGCTGTGTTTAAAATATTTGTTTCCACTTTGAGTGCCTCGTTTACACTGTATACATATGGAATATGACTGTCAGCCTTAGCAATCTTCTCTTTGTCCATCGTGAACACATAAACTTTTAAGATGTACATGAAATGGGTCACATGCAATTTTAAATTCTTTAATGTAGAAAATCCCAAATTCATAAACTAAATTTCTTCACTTGAACCTTTGGTAGTAGTATTTTTATCTTCTCTAGAAACACTTTACTTTCCTTACATTTTTCCCAGAGAAACCAGTCTTCAATTCAGTTTATGTTGTTCAAGATATAACTCTGGAATTTTATTCTGTGCCACAAATGCTTACATGATACTAGCACAATAATTTCAATCATCGTGTTAATGTGCATTTTTTTAACCTTCACAGTAATATCCACTATACTATCTTGCAACTTAAATGCTTGTTTATAGTAACAACCCAAACTTACAGTATGAAAATATACTATAGGAATATGATCACTAAATAGTGTTAATTTTTTTATTTTAAAAAATTCCTTTGGGCATCTTCTAGAAACATCTCCAACTAACATTGATTTAGGTTGTTTTAGGGTACTAATGTCTTCTAACAGTTCTTTGTTGTTGAAATAAAGAAATAGAGCAGTTGAAAAAGCATAACAACAATGGAAAGATTGTGTAAAGCCTCACATATGAAACTCCTTCACTTTTAACTTTGAATAATACTTGGGTGTAAGATCGGAATAACCTACCAGTCCATTAGGGTTGAAAAATAATGCTTCATGCAAAACAGGAGAATGTGATGGATGAAGATTCCCCTGAATCCAAAGCTCTGCTTCTACTTCCTTTGCTGTATCTGGGCAAAAATTCAGGGGAAAAGCAAGACATAAGAAAGAAATTGGATCATAAAGAGAGTGAGAGCATGAGAGGAACGAGAATGGATTTGCATGTGTTTGGCCGGTTTAGATACCCCAGTTCTGCTTTCTTTCTTCCTTCCTCTGTGTTCCTTCTGGGCCACAGAGGTTGAGAACCTCTGCACTCTTCTAGATGCCCTAGGTTTCCTATTTAGCTATTCTGATGTCTTGATCCTTTTTCTCAGGCTCTGCCTTAATGTTAATATAAAAATATTTTACATTAAATACGACATATTTACAGTACACATATCTTAAATCTACAACTAAATGAATTTTACATATATATTACCCATGTAACTACTGCTCAGATGAATATGCAGGTTTATAATATTCCTTCCAAGTCAATACTCCCAGGTAACTGCTATCCTGATATCTAGTCCTACAGATTTGTTTTGCCCACTTGTGAATACTATGATATTTGTTTGTAAATTTGATTGTCAATATTATACTGTACATTCTTCTGTATCTAGATTCTTTCACTCATGGTCATTTGTGAGATTTATCCTTGTTGTTGCCTGCTGCTGGAATGAATTCATTTTCATTTGTATAGTATTCTGTTGTATGATTACACCATAATTTATCTTTCTACTTTTTAATGGGCATTTATATTACTTCTAGTTTCTGGATATTAGTTTAAAAAAAGTACCTATGAACATTCTTGTTCATGTATTTTGAAGGATATACTCTTATCTTTTGAATATATACCCAAGAATGGAAATGTTGGATATAGGGTATTCATATGTTTACCTTTGGTTGGGTCTGCCAAACATTTCTCCAAAGGGATTGTGTCATTTTACAACTCCCACCATCAATTTATGAGAATTCCAGTTGCTCACATTTTGCTAACACTTGGTTTTGTTAGTCTTTAAATTTAAGCCATTCTAGTCAGTGTAGAGTAGTATCTTATCATAGTTTTAATTCGAATTTATCTGGCAAGTAATAATGGGGAAGCACATCTGTTTGGAGGTATTGAGAAAGGGAGCTGGGTACACAGTACAGCATGTACTACACTTAAGACTCCCGAAGGAAGCTGCCTGATTTCTTGGAGGTGAACTTTCTGGTGTGGCCACATTCTCAGTGACTTGAGATAGACTAATTGTAAACCTAAATTGTAAATAGATGGCTTTAATGATCTGAACAGAGCTAGGGTTTTAATGCAGGTTGTCACCTGTGATTTTCTTGTATAAGAGACATAAACTTAGCCAGGAACTCGTAGTTCTTTGAATTTAAATAGGATAATTTTCTATAATCATGCTTTATTACAAAGCATCTTCTAGGCTTCAGTCTATACAATCTTGCCCTAGTAAGCAATATCAAATTGTGCTACATATGTGTTATTGGTAAAATCCATTGAATTGTGATTCAAATATGGCAATATTTTTATTATTACTACAGGCTGTTATTTGACATGTGATAAAACAGAGTTAAACTGCTGGCGAATGGCTGACAGAAATTACCCAATGACAGCATATTATCTGAATTAACTTTTTGGATTCTTAGCTCAGTGCCCAAAACTTACTACAAGAAAGTACTGATGCAGTGTTTTACATTTTTTCTTCATATCTGTAAAAGATTTGTTTTTTAAAGTAATGGATTTTGAGGGAAAAAAAACATGGAACAGAAGTATGGAATACAAATATAAGTGTGTGCTAATTATCTTATAACCACAATAAACTAATACAGAGAATGCCCTGTACAAAACACAATAAAGTTTCAAAGATTGAGGTGTTCCTTAGCAAGGCTGACAATTTTAGTCTCTGGTATTTGTAATTTAGGGCTTGCAGTCCTCATTTCTGGATGAATCACTCTATGTGCGGCACAGGTCTATGCCTTTAATCAGATTTGAAACAGAAGAATGCCCTTTGGCCCAGGTAGAAGTAGACGAAGTGTTTGTTTCATGTGTCAGGCAACTACCAAAGTTCCTCCCATGATGCAATGTCAGATGGGATTGTACTTCTTGTCAAACTGCTTCTTGATATGGGCTGAAAGAGTCTTTTTAATGTTCTCCAATGCCTGTGTAGCTCACACCACTAAGCCCTGCTGCATTCTTTCCCAATGTGACTGTCATTTTTGATCACAGCTTTCAATTACATGGTTACTGTGGAGCAGAGACTGGCCACTGGAATAGTCTCCTTGGGAAGGTGCTAGCATGGGCTCAGGCCCTGTGAGAGCTACGGTCACTACAGGAGCCATGGTACATCTAACACATTTTATATTCTTAATGAGACTCTGTATCTAGTCATGTTCTTTCTGGTGCCTAAGAGAGCATAGAAAGTCCTTCTTCATGCTCTTTCCCCACTAAATTTTCCTCAGGAAGCAGGAGAGGCACATTTGCATGTACCAGCATTGGAACCACTGTACCAGTTTACTTATCTTGAACAAGTGGCCTTAACCTTTCAGAGTTCCAGTTTCTCCAGCTGTGCAATAACTATACCTCATAGTGTTGGTTTGAGGGATGGATTAGCTAATGTTTAAAAAACACATAGCACAATCCTTCACATGAAGTAATGAAACTGAAGGTAGTTATGTTAAAGTTGTCAGGCATGAGAAAATGAGAAAATAATCACTTTCTGTCAGAGACGGACTTACAGTGAAGCAATGCAGTTTAAATTTTAATGAAGTTTAAGGGCCCTTTGCAAGTAAGTATACTCAAAATAAGATTATTTTAACTACAATTGGCTAGGATGACTCTTCCCATTTGATTTCATCTCCATCACATTGCTTTGTTTCAACTGGTATTGGAGGGCTGTAGCATTCTTGGCTTTCAGTTGTGGGAAAGTTGATTTGGGAATATGTTTAGTTTGGGCTTACAAGATATATTTGACTACATTTCTACACACAGTTGGGTTACTTCTAGC